CGCCGGCACCGGCGCCCCTACAGCCGCCCGCTGCGCTCACGACGCAGCCCCCGGGGCAGGGAGCGCACAGCCTCGCGCAGGGCAGCCCCAGGGAGCTGAAGGCCCCCGCAGACCTGGCCAACCTGAGCGACACCCAGCCCGTGCGCTTTGAAGGCCGTACGACGACGCTCAAGGCGCTGCGGGAGGCGTCGACCACGCAGGTGCTGCGCAATGGCGGCACAGGCATCACGCAGGCCACCTGGAGCCACACCATGCGTGGGCAGCCGCTGACGGGCGTGTCCCCGTCCCCCACCGGCGCGCTGGCAGCCGCGAACTCGGCGCTGCGCAAGTCGATCGAGGGCAAGGGCGATGTCGCCGGCACGCTGCTGCGCCCGAGTGGCGGCGCCATCACCACGCAGCACTGCAATGGCGTGGACTACACCTTTCGCCACCAGCCCAACGCCACGCCCCTCACCGGGCCGCAGTTGCTCAACCTGAAGCAAAGCCACATCGGCCCGGGCGGCGCCGTGGTGCTGAACGGCCTGTGCTTCGGCGCCACGCCCGGGCGTGTCCGGCTGATCGGCAACTTTCCGGGCGGCCAGCTGATGCTGAGCACGCCCGTGTGGCGGCATGACGTGGTGTACGCGGAGATTCCGCCGCTCAATGGCGTGGCCAGCCACCCGGTGGTGGTGCAACTGCTGGATGCCCGCGGCGTGCTCTCCAACGAACTGCCGGGCACCTGGGACGCCCCGCGGCAAGTGCTGGAGGTCGACTCCGCGCGGGTCTGGGAGATCACGCAATGCGACGTGAACCGGCCCCCATTCGACGCCCTGTGCCGCTCGGGGGCGCAATTGATCCAGTCCTTCGACACCAAGCCCCTGTTCGGCCTGCTGCTCGGTCAGCCAAGGCTGTGGCTCAATGAGTCCCTGCCAGCGACGGCCATCGGCGGCTTGCACCGCCGCGTCGACCTGGACCAGCCGGTGGAGCCCTTTCAGGGCCGGGACGTCTACCGCCTGCGGGCGCCCGAGGGTTGCGCTGCGGAGAAAACCTTCTGGAGCGCCCCCGACAACGCCCCCGCCACCGGCTTCACCGCCACCCATCTCGACGAACGCACCGTCGCCGTGGACTGGCGTGCCGACTATTGCGTCAAGTACGGCTGGGCGCTGGACCACGACTGGAGCTGCGTCGGCAGCTACATGAGCCGCAAGACCGTGATCAGTTGCCCCGCCGGGACCGCCCTGCCATGACCCCCATCACCACCCCGCACACCCGCTGGGCGACGCTGCTCCTGCCCGCCCTGCTGGCGGCCTGCCATGGCAGTACACCGCCACCGCCCGCCGCGCAGGCAAGTGCACCAACCGCCACACCTGCTGCACCCGCTGCGTGCACCCGCCTGAGCGAGCGCCAGGCGGCGCAGGTGCTGGCCCTGCCGGCAACTCGCGCCATCCCCGACAAGCCGGAGAACTGCAGCTGGAACAGCGGCCGTGAGGACATGCCCTTCCCCGTCCTCAATCTGAGCGTGAACCCGCTCCCTGACGAGGCGAGCGCGGCCCGCTTGTTCGAGGCGACATCTCGCGTGCAAAGCAAGCTCAGCCACGGCGTGAATGCCGCCTTGGGCGAGGAAAGCCGCCATGCCGGGCGCGCGCCCGAGGGCCTGGGTGACGAAGCCTGGCTGCAGGCGGACGACCTGGCCGGCGCCGACACCACGCTGCTGGTGATCCGCGCGGGCCGCACGGTCTACACGCTGGGCGTGGTGGGCATGGGCAAGGCCGAGGGTCTGGCCGAGCGGCTGGAAGCCGCGGGCCGCAGCGCGGTGGCGGCTCCCTGACGCCCGCGGACCGGTCACCACC